ATACTTACGACAAACAGCATTCCAGATTATCGCATAATTGTCTGGTTGTCCAATTTTAGGCCAAATGCGTGCCAACTGACAGTATGCCGTACGTGACGGTATGCCGTAGATCTAGATTATAGATTCTAGATCTAGATCTATAGATCTATGATCTAGATTCTACTCCGTGCACAAAACAGCAAACGACCCTCCTTAGAATCTGGCAGATTTGATCAAGAGTCATGGTCGACATGGTCTTCAACTTCAAGCTGACGTTAAAATCGACATCGAAAAGGGCTAACCAAGACAAGGAAAACAAACCATTTTACTTTCACTTTTCAGCAAACACTTGACTTGTTCGATTCTCTTAGTCTTTACCACTTTTCGCACACAGTGTGACACAGCAACACAATTCAACAGGGCATGGATGGTTGGTTGGATTTCAAACTTGGTCCTATCAAGCCGTCCGTGACTCTCTGAACTCATGACTGAACAATGAACTCGCTCGCTTAACCCTCCGGGGCTTCGATTTTCGTTTTACAAAGCTCACCTCCAGAACCAGATCTATAGGCCTAATCTTAGATCTCCAACGCTGCAACTCGCTAAACTGTGCTTTTTAGAGTGACAAAGGTGTATTTCCGGTTTCCTATGGAGAAGAGCGCGCGCACCAGGGACTTCACCCAGAGACACTATAATTAAATACTCTCTGCTTCACCTTAGCTCTTGTTATTGTTTGTCCAAGACCGACAACTCTAACCTCAGTCTTGGATTTACCATTTGAGGAGTGTTTTCGTTGTCTTGTTGTGTGTTACAAGTCCAGTTGCAGCTATTTATCCGTGTCGACGAATGCACCACACCTCCATTCTGCTGACTTCTTCTTGTAGTTGTAGGCCTAGTAATAATACACGTAGTATCTAGTAGTAGTGGTAGTTCTTGTTTTAGTCATATTAATGTAATAGCAACAGTGGCAGCGTAGTAAATGTAGCAATAATAGTCATGTTGTTATGGTAACGTGATGGTAGAGTTGTTGCCGCCTTGTAATTTTGTTGTTGTTGCTATCTGTTGGTGTTATTGTATTATCATCGTCTACGTCTAATGTCGGTTTTTTTTTCTTTGTTTGTTTTTGTTTTGTTTTTGTTGTTGTAGTTTTTTGTTTTGTGTTTTTTGGTGTGTTTTTTGTGTTTTGTATCGTAATGAAAAAATAATATAATCTATAAGAAGCTGTATTTTATAAAAGTTGTTCAAAGTTTCGCCCATTAGAGAGTCATCTGGTACATAAAAAAGACAATAACACAACAGCTACAAAATCGTCCATTGATGTGATTGTTGATACTGGGCTGGGTATAAGAAAGAAAAGAAAGAAAAAAACAATACTGGAAAGAATGGAGCCGATCAGAATGTTTGAAAAATTATATGACACTGCTGTACGGTACATAAACATACAATGGGAATGAGGAATGGGGGGGGGGGGTGAACCGGAAAATGAAGCTGGAAATTGGTAAATTGATTGTCACTTTAAAAACAAAGTTTGCTGAAGTTTGAATATCACACCAAATTCAGGTTCGAATTCTACGCCAACTTTCTTTGCTTATTTTGGTACTTCGGTTCTGAACATGAAATCAGTTTTTAGCAGCGATAGTTTGGCCTAGGCTTATTTCTTTTATTCTGCCCGCCAAGTTTTAAAATCCCATGCAGCTGCAAACTTCCGAGAGATTCTGTCCAGCTCCCTTTTCCCAAATCTGACCTCGGAAAGCCGCAATATGTGCCGGCGAGTGCTGTGCTGACAAAAGAAGGAAAACGAGGCTTAAGCCTATACTGTGTGGGAGACGGGCTTTTGAGACAGAACACAAAGCGTCGGCCAGCTGTTGGAACGTTCTAAGCCCAAGATTTTTAATATGTTTTAATATATTACTTTTTATTAATCAGGGGTATCGGGTGCATTTATTTATGGAATATTTTGTCAAAATTCAAACTGTAAATAAATAATGACAAAAGCAAGGAATGGTACATATATAATGTTAGGTACAATTGTTTAAAGAATGACACATCTCTCTCTCTCTCTCTCTCTCTC